TTTTAGTTAGACAAAAATAATCCTTAATATAGTAACCCAAAATAAAATATTAAGGCTAGGATCCAACAATATAATTCACAACTTAGAAAAGGGATTACGTAATCTAATTGTAAATTTTAAAAAGGTAAGTTAATGATGACTTACCAATTCCACCAAAAAATGAAATGGAAATAAGTGAAATTCTTAGGTATTTTGAGATTCATTGAAACTATTCAATGGCATGTTTAATCTCAGATTATGCTCTTTTATTTGTGACTGGGAACTGAGGATCACAAACAAAATACGAATAACCATGCAAATGTGCTTGGTAACCTCATTGTCATTTTATCATCCCAATTGATGTGCTGGTAAACCACACACACTCCATTAACAATGACAATTTATGAGATACCCATTAAAACTCTTTATTAGTCCCTATTAATGTGTTGGTTAACCACACACGCTCCACTAACGACTTATAAAGTGGAATGTGCAATTTCATGGGTTAGCATACTAATTCACATTTTTTCCTAAAATAACTAGATTTGGGATTTTAAATAAAAGCTTCTATTACTTTTAATAACATTATACTTTCAATGAGATTTATTTGTCATATCAAATCCGTTCTGCTAATGACCATCCACCAAACAAGTAAGCGGTGGGTGAGAGTGTACACTCATTCAACTACCATTTTATAGGTAGTTTCCTTATACCCCCTTATAGTTCGACTTCGTGAATCAGACATACTTGCAATCCGACTGACTTAGTCTTATACATATAGTAATTAACTTTTAATGTTACATGTGTAAATATATATAAGATGTATTTTCAAAACTTTTCTAAAATACTTGGTTTATTAAATTTTCTAAATTAAAGAATTAATTTAATTTAAATAAACCAATTAATATTTGACATTAATTATTATGATCAATTAATATCTAAATTAATTATTTACACACTTAAAAAATTAATCATATTAATTAGTAAAATAATTAATCAAGTCAAAGATTTATCTCCTAACTTATAGGCTTTTATTTTATCATCAAATATTCAACAAATTCAAATTTGGCAGATATTTAGAGCAGATAATTACCAAATAAAAGCATCCAAAGCAGATTAGGCAGATAAACTCAAAAATTTCGATATGTTCAGATCGCACGTCGTGAGCATCAATGCTCACGTCGTGAGATGCAAAAATTCGAAAAACTTTGTTTGATCGATTCACCAATGTGCAATTACATGAAAGATAGCCATAGGCTATGATACCACTGATAGATAATGTAGGTTACAAAACAATGCTCTAAGTGGAAAAACATTTAACAGTTAAATGATTAGGGCACATGCAACCTAAGAAGGACCTATGTCTTTCACATAAAGGAAACATACTATGAACAATCAAACTACAAAAATTTTCTTAATGAAATCTGAATTCATAAGGATGAATACATACCTTGTTATTATTATAATAAATAACAAGAATTCCTTCACTTGTAGATCTCTTGGAAGCAAACACTACAATTGTCGTGACTCTAATGGTTCACACTCAAGTTAGCAAGAAGGAAGACTATAGAAAGAGGAGATGAGAGAGTATAATTTCGGCTATCCCTTGTAAATATGGAGTGGCCGAAAATCTAAGGGTTAGGGTTCCTTATGTAGTGCAACCTGGAAACCCAGGGTAACCCTAAGACCAATATAATAATATTATCTTGAATTGGCAATTATTCAGTTTCCTGATTATCCTCCAAGGATAATTCTAGAACCCTACGACTCCTCCTAAAACCGTCTAAGGCTCTAGGAAGGTTCTAGAATGTCTCTTGTTCAACTATTGAACAATTACACTTTAACCCCTGTACTTTTAACTAGTCTAATTAATCCCAAAATTAATTTTTGATTAATTTACGATTAATTCATAATTAAATATTACTATTTCTCATTAATATGTTATTCTCATTATATATTAATAAACTATTTATTTTAATTTATCAATCACATAATAAATTAATCTCTCTCTCTCTAAAAGTCATCTTGTCTAATTGCTAGGTTTGAAGGCAACCCAAAGGACCGTGCTACTATCAATTCAAGTATATACCAATTATAGTTATGGACTTAGACACCTAATCCAACACTAGCATGCATGATTGTATATGTTCTAGTTGTGTGTGGTACTTGGGGAAACTCACTAAGCTTTGGCTTACGGTTTTCAGTTTTATGTTTCGAGTACTTCAGATGATCGGGGGAAAGCTAAGACGTGATCGTGCACATCCTTTCGGTTTTATGATTTTGGATTTTGGGATACTATGATTTGTGATTATTACTTTTGAGAACAATCTTTTGTAAACAATTACGGTTTTTGGTTGAACTTTAAAAATGAAAATTTTACCTAGATTTTTGGGATGTTACAATAAGTAATTTTAAGATGATAATATCTCTTATTCTTCAAACAAAGATACATGATGTTTTTGCTCTACAATTATGTTATGAATTGGTCTACTCTAATGTTATCCATAACTGAAACTAATATAGAGTATGTCCATGTGTGACATGATCAGTGGACATAAACTATATGGTCGAAGTTTGTTTGTTACTTCTTCCCTAACATGAGAAGCAATATCTATGGGTCTCTCGATGGTTTGGTGATGACATTTATGTGTTTGGTCGAGCCCTGACTAAATTGATTTGTTCAATTTAGTAGTTTGATATGGTTGTCACAAATCTTTAGCGGGACACATAATCTTAAATAATAAGATTGACCCTTATCTATTTCTCAGGTTCATACATATATATTGTAGAACAAAGAAATATTTGTTCTCTTATTTAAGGGATGTCTCTTGATTTGATTAGAGATTGGCAGTTGCATTGGATGACATATTCTCTGTTTAATATTTGAAAGCATTAGACCTTATATAGTTAATCAACTGTCCTAGTAGGAGACTTTTGGAAATCGTGTCCAAGATCATAAGTATTGTTAATATTTCTAATAATAACATGGTCCTTTTGTGTTACCTTTAAGACCTAATTGAGCAAATAAATGACAAAAAGAATTTGGGACAAATTAGTTTATTAATTTTTCATCTTATGATAAATTAATTAGAATCGATTTTAGAATTAAGAATTAATTAATTACATGGACTTGATGTTAATTAATTAAAAGGTTTGATTAATTAGAACAATCTAGGGGCAATTTCAGCAAAAAGGTGGTTGCTTTGGCATTAAGCAACAGTATGCTTATAAATAGGGAGCTTTGTGATCAGTCCCTAATTGCTCAATCCCTTAGCTGGAAATTCGGTCCCTCCCATCTTGCCTCTCCAAATCCAACGCAAGAACAAGCCTATTAGGGTTTGTGTTTTGGCGGTTTTCCTCCCCTCTCCAAGGAGTTGTCTTGTTGCTTAGTTCGTGTTCTTATGTGAGATTCCATTAGAGGGATTTTGGTTTGGATCATTGACATCCAATCAAAGTGGCAAGAACAAGATTGCAAGCAAAGAGATCTTTTTTCCAATAAAGAGGTATGTAACCTTAACTGTCATGTGTTACAATAATAGTATGAACATAGGATCCTTGAAGGTTAAGTTTGAAAATTTGACTAGAAAACTATAATATGATTCATCTACCATATGTTATGTGTTAGTATGTTCAAAACCTTTCATTTGACTATTTGACATGCTTTTAATCAAATTCCAATCTTTTTTATTAAAAAACCAACCTTTTTTATTCAGTTGAAACCATTTTTTTTAAAAACTAGTCGTTCTTTTTATAAAATTCAAATTGTCAAATTTCTTCCAACAACTATAAATACACACTTAAACCTTCACATTTCAACATACATAATTCTCATTACATCTCTCCAAACCTCCATCATTTTATAAAAATGTCACCGTCATCATCACCATCATCAACTTCCTCATCCAATTCAAAAATTTATAGTTGTACTTCATATGTTGGCATATGGAACCCACCTTGATGCACTAGACGAGATTTGGCAAATACTTGCTAAACCATTAATGTTCCGCGAAGTAGATACTATGACCGAGGTGATGTACGTGTATGATATTACATAATATAATATGATACTAGAAGATGAAGGAAACAATATATATGACTACAACGAGAATCAAGCCATCCCTAAGACGCAACCACTAGTATATGGTGGTCTAGAATTTACACAAAGAATGGGGATTCTTTACAATTCTTTATCCATTCCGATCTTCATCGCCATTTGACCGATTATCTTTGGACGATTGACAATCTCGATCTTATTATGCCATCCACAGATGAGTTGAAATACCAATTCTCGAAGAAAGACCCTTTGTTTTAGTTATGTTTCATTGTTTTTTTGTGTATTAAGTCAATTTTAATTATTAAGTCATGTTTTATGATTTTATGTTTGAAGTCATGCTTTTATGTTTTAAGTCGTCCTTTAACTTTAGTATTAAGTGATGTTTTGTAATTTATTTTAATATTAAAATGTTTATGTTTTTAATTATTAGTTGTTAAAAATAATCAAAATTAATAAAATTAATAACGATTTAAAAGAAAGCGATGTAGCATGCTAAGACATACCACCACTCCCATTGTTATTATTACGTGACATGCAAAAAAATAATAATAAAAAGAATTGTGGTAAAATGTAACACAACACCAATCCCTCTAATCTAATGATTATGTGTCATTTGTTGTTGATATATTCATTAAAAATTACGACGTGCTTTAATTTTTATAAAAGTTGAAGTAAATTTTAGCCATATAATATCAGACACGATCCTTAAATAAAGTATAAGTACTTGAATCAAACCCCATGCCCGATATATATAGTGATATAGACAAAAAGATTGAATAAATTCACGAGGCATTTTAATGTATCAACGTGGTGTGTTTTTTCTCTTATGTGGGGCAGCAAACGCTTCTAAAAAGAAAATAATTTGATAATTTTATTGGTCGAGTCATATATTAAAACGTGCAAAAAAAAAAAGACACTATAAAGCAAAGCAAATTTCAATGAGCATAACTTCAATTTAGTTGGAGTTAATTAATCAGTCATCGAGCATGCAGAAAAATTCGTTTGAGGTTGCATATTCAAGTTTTGTAGTATAAAATTTTCGATATGTTTTTAACATAAATTATTTGAAAACAAATAGGATTCAACAACACGTCTCTTGAAAACAAACTCAACATGTACACGTTTATTTTGGGCAAAATATTAATGTCACAATATAAAGGTGAAACTGAAGATGCACTTTTATTATTATGCCAATTTCGTATCCTAACACATGCAACTGCTGAAATTTAATATAGACTACATCATCAAACAAGTTAAACTCAAGGACTGTTTGTTACACTTTGTGTTTTAAGACCTAATAGCCATTAACTGTTTGTACCATATTTTTGTATTTATTGTTCAACACTGTATTATTTATATCTATACCAAAAATCTCCATTATTTCTTAATATCTTCATCCTTTGAAGTTGCAGCTATCGCCCATGGCTCTCTCCACCCGTTCAGAAACTGAACAGGTACAATTCTCTCACTCTTTGCTTCTTTTTGTCCATAGGTCTCAGATTTTGTGTTCTACAACAATACATCATGTAATCAGTCTAATTTTATATACTGCAAAGTTGATGAATATTTATGTATGTTTACAGAATTTGTATAATGACTGTATTACTATTTATGCACGTTATTATCGTTTGGTGTTTAAGAGGTTAAAATATGCGCTGAGAATGGCTGTAAACAAACCGAACGAATACGAAGAGGACTTATTCATGTTCATTCGTTTAAGTTAGTCAAACAAATGAACGAACATGAACGGATAAACAAACGAATTTTATAGTTCATTTTTGTTCGTTTAACAAATGACGTTGTTGATGTTCGTTCGTTTATATTCGTGAATATGCTAAACGAACATAAGCGAACAAACATAAACGAACGGAGATAAAAAAAAAACATAATTGAACATATATGAACATAAACGATTATATAATATAGTAATGTAATTAAACACAATTGAACATAGATGAACAAAAAAAGGAACTTAAATGAACGAATATAAACGAACATAAACGAACGTTAACGGACATAATTAAATGAACGATACCATTTTTCATGTTCGTTGGTTTAACTAAACGAACAGAAATATATGTTCATATTCGTTCGTTTATTAAATAAATGAACATAAACAAACTTACCGTCGAACGGTTCACAAACAGTTTGCTGAATATTCAATTCGTTTACAGTCCTAACGGTGAATAAAGATGTATAAATATTTGCATCAAAATGAATCATAACAAACCAAATGTTTTTATTGATTTTTTTTTTGTACAAATAATGTGTTAAATAACATATAAAAATAGCATATAAAAACTGTGTAATATAAATAGCAATCTAATGTATTTTAATAAACTGATCCAAAAGGTTGTATTTGTAATTTGTAAATATAAAGGTCTATAAATTTTGAACTTTGAACTTATTGCTTTTCCGGTAACTTTTTAAAGTTTATAAAATACAACCTAGTTTCATGTAATTTTATTAAAATACATACATTAGATTACGATTTCTATAAGTTTACGATTAGACATGAGACCTTTCTATAATGAATGAAACATAAGGACTATATATATATATATATATATATATATATATATATATATATATATATATATATATATATATATATATATATATTATTCAAATTAGATCAAAGGCTTAATTTTAAGAGGTACAAACCTTACTTCAATATTTACAATCTGTTTATTCATGTAGAATAAATAAATTTTATCCGGTCAACTATTGAAAAAATAAATAAGATGATAAAACTGTGAATGAGTCAAAGTTTAACCAAGTACTCCACATATCCTATTGAATCGGTCTAACACCCTATACACGTTATAAAAGCATTTCCACTATATCTTTCATCCCACTCTCAACCATCGGTCTTCATGAAACCCTAAAATACGCTCCCCCGAAACTCAGTATCTACCACCACCACTCACCGCCATTGTTACAAACTATCTGCAACCCATCGCTTTGCGCGAGTAAAGTATATATATATATATATATATATATATATATATATATATATATATATATATATATATATATATATATATATATATATATATATAATGATTTACCTAAAACACTTTAAATCATTTCAAACAAGTCTTTAACCAATTAAACTAGAAAAATCTAAGCCTTCTTCCACCTACAACTTTTGAAAGCTTATATTTTTTGGTTTTTAAGAAAAACCTAATAAAAAATATTTCATTAAATAGTAGGGACTTCTTACTTTTTAGTTAAAAAAAATTCTAAATTAAAAAGCTATTTTAAGTAAAAAACTAGTTTTTAATTTTGCAAATTGACTTATTTATATTTTATGTAATTTTATATGTTTGTAAACTATCAAATATTTTTTCTAAAAATAAAAACTATAACTTCACATATTTGTCGAGAACACCCGTATGTAGGAATATTGGAACCCACCTTTTTTGGTGAACCCATGTATTAAAAACTGTTTAATACTTGTAGTGAGACCAAATTGATACTTATTATTTATTCCATAACCGGTGTGTTACCGACTACCGTTACTGTTCTTTTTTTTCTTGATCCATATGTTACGTATTACAATGGTGGTCTTTTTATCCAACGTCTGTATGAATCAATCTGTTTTTTTTTTCTTGTTTTTTTATTGCATCGGTGTGAATCGCTTTGTTCCAACAATGTTTGGCAACTTCTAAATAACTTATATCGAGATGATTTAGTGGCTTTGAATGAATTTGTTTTTGAATGAAAACATATTGTTTGGCTAGACCTCTAAATAATTGTGCTAAACATTAAAATTAACCATTTTAACCTTACGAATGAAAACATGCAGTTTGATTAGGCATATGAATAGTTGTGTTGAACGATACAATATCCGAATCAAATTGCCGAATAATTATAAAAAATACAAAATATCATCAAAAGCCAAATTAAACATAAATCCTTTCAAATCACTAGAAACATACTAAATCCAAAGAGAAAATAATTATATTTTATAACCTTACATACAAATTCATTTTAAAACATTTGAAAAACTTTGATTAACAATCTTGTCACATATATTCCTTGCCTTATGAGCACAATTCGATGTCTGTGTATGTTTGTGCCATCACTTTCTCCACTTTACACCTCAACAATATACATAGTGTTCTTTTCAAAGTCCATAAATATTTTATGAAGAATATTGTATTTCCTTATAAAATTATAAATCGAGAAACAAGCAACCACTAAGTCGTTTTGTATCGAAAGTTTATAATGATTAAGTTGCTTTAGGATTGATAATCCCGCTTTCAAAGCACAATAAGCGCATTCAAAAATATTATGAGTTATGTGTGAACATGATTGAATCTTTCTTCCTTAATTAACACACAATGTAAATTTTCGAAATCAAATTCCCAAAGATGGTTTCACCGAAAAGAAATTTCAGAGATGGAGAAGCGAGTCTTACCAGTGATGTTGGGACTGGCAGAGGAAGGAGCTAGAAGAGGAGCGACGTTGTGGAGAGGCGATGTTGGCAGGGTGGCGGCGCTAGCCGGAGATGGGATTCACTCAAGAAACATCGATTGGAAAAAGTATGCAATTAGATTGGTGTCGAAGGGTACTAGGGTGAAAGGGCAAGGATGTCAAATGAAATCATTAAGCAACATACTCAAGTCTAACTGGATCATATGTTGTTGAATCATTCAAGTGTACTAAAATGTTGAACCAAATGCTTTGAATCTCACAGATTCATAGTTCACCTTTTAATAAAACCATTATGAAGCTTCATTATGGTTCTAATTTTGATTTACATCCAAAACATTAATATTAGTATATTGCATTGGAACGACTTTTTTTAGTTAGTTATATAACTATACTAATTTAAAATGCCTAACAAATAAATTTTACTTAAGATTTTCTTATTAAAATAATTAATTATATAAAACTAACAAACTAATTTCCTTTTATATATATATATATATATATATATATATATATATATATATATATATATATATATATATATATATATATATATATATATATATAAAAGATATTTTAAGAACCAAAAGATACATGAATCCATATAAAATGTGTTCTTTTAGAAAAATCTCACACAAAGTGAGTGTTTGTTTTAATGGATCGGTTTGATTTAAACTTATTTATCAAGTGAATGCAAATTGATTTTGATTTTTAATATATGGATCTCAATAGTTTGAATTAAACTGTAATTCAACCAAACTGAACAAAATTACAATTCGGTTAGATCAATTTTACAATTTAATTTTTAAGAGTCAAATCGAAAAATATATAATTGTAATATAAACAAATTTGAGTTGTCAAATTCGAATTTAGAAACCACTGAGTTATCTATGACCCTAGTCAATTGTAATAATAATAAAACTAAATTGTTTAGTTATGACTTTTGAGTTAAATCTACAAAAAATATATTGATGAGACGAGAATATCTCGAGTGAATTAAGTTAAATGTAGAGGTTTGTTTGTTTTTTTTTGCCTTTTTTTGTGGTTTTCTAATTCCTAAAACCGAAATGGATATTTCTGTTTTTGAATAAGTAGAAACCAATCCATTGGTTTTATGTTCGATTTCTATTTTTAGTTTTCTTGCAGTTTTTCAGTTTGCGGTTTGGATTTTGTTCACCTCTAGTTAAACGAATATGAGTTAGGAAACAATATTTTGTAAATATGTTAAGGCTTTTCTTTTTTACTTGGGTCTTGAATCTTGATGCCTTCTTGTGTAATTAAAAAAGCAATTATAATACATTAATACATAATCTATGTACGTATTAAAAACAAATAATTAAGACAATGTTATTTTGTTTAATTTTTTTCTTATTTTAATGATAAAACCAATTTGAAATCTGCATTAATAGTTTGGATTTGGTCTAAACCAATCATAAAATATTAATATCCAGACAATGCAGTTCCATCTAAATTATTCAATTTGACAACCGCTACACTTCTATTTGTTGTTCCATTTCCATTTCTATGTCTGGAACGCACGTCTCTTTTGCTTATTCTAAAGGCCTATCACAGTTTAACTAACTAAGCTACACATTCAGTTTATTCAGATTTGTTGTTCACCAACACCAAAATGATGTAAGCAATGGTGTTGGGTATATTTGACACATTGTTTGGTGTAAAAATTTATGGGTTGGGAATAACCTTAAATAAGTATTAATAGAAAACTTTGTGAAAAATATATGTTTACATAAAGATTATGTTTAGGAAAAACTAGCATGATAAAGCTAGAAAGTTTGTGATTTTTGCAGGTGATATTTGAGGAAATCTTGGGGGCAAGAAAAGTAGTACTTAACAGATCAACAAAACTAAATGTCCTAAGCTATAAGATGGTATTGTAAAACCACAATATGGTGAAAGTAATATTCTTCTGAATTGCTTACTTTTATCAAAATTGATTGCAGTTGGGAAAAATATCTGAGAAACTGAGAACATACGAGAATGATCCAATGGTTAAGCTTGTTGTTCTAAAGGTACTAAAAATAATTTCGGGATTTAAAATATCTACGAAACCTAGAGATGGCAAAATGTCGCATAAGATACGACGGATAACATGTATTCAATTTATGTATGATTAAATTGCTTTTTGAAAGTTCATTGCTTGAATGTAATTTTTATTAAATGCATTTCTATGCAATTTCCCAATGATCAACATGTTAAAGTATTGCAAAAAAACTTGTTACTAAAAGAATAACCTAATTAGTTTTTTTTAACGATGAAATTTTATTGAAAAACCAACAAGACGTTAGAAAATACTCATTACAAAAAAAAATGTCATCTAACCACGACAACATAGTTTTTCTGCACCTATTAGAAATTTAGTAATGTAAGTTGTTTAATAAAGTGATAATGTGATCATTTAGACCCTTTCAACCCATTCAACTGTTTATTTAACAAAAAAGTGTAAGATATTTTTATTATGTAGTACTATTACTTGATGAGTGTTTCATTTTTCAACGCATCATCTTCATGAGCAGGCAAATGGCAAAGTATTTTGTGTTGGTGGTGATCTCGTATCTGCTTCTAAATTTGTAGCTTACGGTAAGGGACGTATATTAATGCTTACGAACGAGAATAAATGCAATTAAGACCATGTCGTTTTATTTTGAAAAAAAGGACATTGGAGTTTCGGAACGAGCTATTATAGGAAAGAATTTTGTTTGGACTACCTACTTGCAACATATAAGAAGCCAATGGTTGCAATTCTAGATGGAAGTGTTATGGGAGGAGGTGTTGGAATATCGATACATTCAACATTTAGAATTGTTACTGAGAATACGGTATTTATCTTCTTCTTTTTTCGGCAGCTACATGTTTTTTTGACAAGTTCGATGTTTATCATGTAAGTTGCGGTTTTTACAACATTGGTGTAGATATTCGCCATGCCCGAAGCATCAATTGGATTGTTTCCTGACGTTGGTGCATCTTATTTTCTATCGCGACTTCCTGGATCTTTTGGTAAACTCATCTGCATGGTACATTGTCATTTACTTATATGCAGGACGAGTGAGGCCCTGTCCCTCTCTAAAGAAGTAGTTAAAAATATCCTTTAAAAATATTTTTAACATGGCATACAAAAAACTTATTTAATAGAACACCATAGATAAATAGTAAAACCTATTGGGTTTATATATGTAAAACAATGGACAGTTTATTTTATGATTTGTTCCACTACCATAAACGAGCATGAATGATCAAGGGTATGTGTGTAGGAGAATATATTGGATTAACGGGTGCTCGATTAGATGGAGCAGAGATGGTTGCCATGGGGCTTGCAACTCATTTTGTCCCATCTCAGGTACTCATCTCTCTTAAATGTGTTCAATGACATTTTTATACAAATGGGCACACTTAATTAACACAAATATGTTCTTGATTATTACATATACTTACCAATTCTTGCAGAATATACAAGCAATGGAGAAGGCTCTCGAAAAAATGGTTGCTTCATCAGATGCAACAAGTGTAACAACAATGTCCATGATTATTAACAAGTTTGCACAAGAAGTAAAGGTCAAGCCAGAGAGTGTTATTACTAGGTACACAAATATTTCTTCATCAAAATGTGCCAATTGGGACCAATTGGGACTAATTTACTTAATATTTATGGATTTTGATTATGCTATACATGGATAAATGCAAGAGATATATAACAACCTATTTTTATTTTATTTATTTCTTGTAATAATTTAATTTAATATATTTTTAATTACAATATATTAGTTTTCAACATTATTTCTGTAAAAACATTGAAATATGAAAGTTTGCCAAATTATAGGGCTTATTCTCATTTTTTATTAAAACATGTATTTAAAAATTTTACTCATGTATAACAGTGAATGCAACTTCGCTTATTGATTATATTGTTATAATTGGGTCGATATTTGGAAGTATAATCTTATTATCCGAATAAATGAAAAAACATGTTATATATAATAACAATTAAATGAAAGAACTTTGTCAATATTACATTTAACCATTATTTTGTGCTAAGGTGTCAAATGGGTATATAAAATTATCAGCTAAAAGAAACTTGATCACATGGGTAAATGAATAAAAAGTAATGAATAAAAAATTGGGAAATTGACTTATCAGTGTAATTACATTTTTTATTTGTTTAAATCTTGGTAATTTCGTTTTTTTTATAAACATCTAAATAACGAACTTGTTGGATGTGTTTACATGTGACCATTGTGACCGGATGTAGCAAGCTACAGCCAGTCATAATGATCATATGTGAACATTTCTGACAAGTTCGTTATCTAAATATGTATAAAAAAAGTCACCTAAATATGAACAAAACCAAAAACTAATTAACCTCATAATTCATTTTTCCTTCTTTTTTATTTACCTTCTAATTTTGATTTGGTATAAAATTTAACCTAAATGATTAACATATTTACAACCACACCATTTTGGTACATATCTTTTTAAAATACACTCCTTTGATAAAAAAACAAAAAAAAAAACAAAACAAAAAAGAAAAAAAAAAACCTCTAGATTTGACAGGAAAAAAACACGTCATCCTTTTATAAAATTTTACTCTTTAAGATAATAAATATAAAAATTAAATTTTACTAAAGACTAAAAGTACAAGAGATCGAGACCAATAACATAAAATAGAATATCATCTTCAATGAAGTTTGCTCCATGTATTACAGAAAATTAAAATATAAAAAATAGAAGCAACTTTTATCTACATCGATATCATTGCTCATGTCTTATATATATAGAGCTATTTAATAATTATGCTACCAAAACAACTCTACATGTGAGCTATTTAATAATTATATCGACAATCTTAATAAAAAGGGAAATTAGGGTAATTAGTTTTTCATTTTGTTCACATATGAGTAACTTTTTTATTTTATTTTATACATATCTATGTAACAAATTTTTTGGAAGTGTTCACATATGACCATTATACATATGTGAACACTTCCAAAAAAGTTGTTACTTAGATGTGTATAAAAAAGAAGTTTTTCAGATGTGTAATTACCCTGATAAGTCAATTCCCCTAAAAAGTTGAATATTCAAATGTTGTCAACTTTATTTTTATAAAAAGAATATTACATTTACAATATAAATTTCATAATCGCATTTAATATATTAAATGTTTATAAAATTTAACAAAGTAGAGAAAATGTTTGGATAACTTAACAAAACATGAACCTGTCATTATGTTTTGATTAACATAAAAAGAGAAAAACTACAATAAATTCCCTACATATTGGCTTCATAATCGATTTAGTCTCTATATATATTTTTTATTCAATTAGTCCCAAATACCGGTAATCGTATTCAATTTAACCCTTTGACCCGGTCAACAGGTTATCCAACTTTCAAAAATTACATTTTTGGCCCAGATTTCAAAATTTATTACAAATTTGGTCCAAAATTTACACTTTTGGCCCAGATTTTAATTTTTGTTACAAATTTGATCCAAACTTTACCCTTTTTGCCTAAATTTTAGAATTTTATTAGGGTAAATAGCATAAAAACACTCCGTTTACACCAAAATTCTAATTTGACACCGTGTTTTTTTTTTCTCAAATTTGACACTGTGTTTTCCAATTTGTTACAATTCTGACCACTTGACCGGTTAACCATGTTACATGCTGACGTGGCATGATGACGTGTCAGTTTTGATGATGTGGCATGCTGACATGATATGCTGACGTGTCAAAATTGAATTTTTTTTTCCACAAAAAACAGTAAGTTTTCACTTTTTTTTGGTTTTGACACTAAGTTTAACTTTTTCTTTCAATTTTGACACTATGTTTTTTTGTTCCAAATCGAACATCATTTTTTCCAATTTTGTTCAATTTTGACCATTTTCCATTTGAAACCGAATAAATATATATTTTTATTACATTTTAAACCGTATAAATATATTTTTTTTGTTTAAAAACCATATTTTTATTTAAATACAAGGTGTTTCTTTTGTTTTGTTTTGTTTTGTTTTGTTTTTTTTTTTTTACATTCAAAGTATAATGTATAAATATGCATTAGTTATATCATGAGAAACAAACTAACCATAAGCTTCTAATAAGATGTGAAAAATGGTCGAAATTGAACAAAAATCGATAAATGATGTTCGATTTGGAACAAAAAAACATAGTGTCAAAATTGAAAGAAAAAATTAAACTTAGTGTCAAAATCGAAAAAAAGTGAAAACTTACTGTTTTTTGTGGAAAAAATTCAATTTTGACACGTCACCATATCATGTCAGCATGCCACATCATCAAAACTGACACGTCATCATGCCACATCAGCATGTAACCTGGTTAACCGGTCAAGTGGTCAGAATTGTAACAAATTGGAAAACACAGTGTCAAATTTGAGACAAAAAAAATCACAGTGTCAAATTAGAATTTTAGTGTAAACGGAGTGTTTTTTATGTTATTTACCCATTTTATTATGAATTTATCATAACTTTAGTTTTCTTTTTATAACTTTTTTTCTCAAAGAATTGTTTCTAATATGTTTTTTATTTATAAAATCATATTTATACAAAAAAAAAAACGTATATTCACATAAAAATATTATATTTTCTATATAAAAACTTTTTGTAAAAAGTTTTTTGTATATGAAATATCTAGTTATAAAAATAGGTATTTATTAAGTATATATATATATATATAGATATATATATATATATATAGATATATATATTATATAATATATATATATATCCGTTTTTATAAATAAATGTATACAAAAACGTATTTTACAAAAAAAATGTATACAAACACCTATTTTATCTATATATTTTTTATAAACTCGTGTTTGTTTACTTTTTTTTTTCATAAAAACGTGTTTGAATAATTTTTTATATAATACGTGTTTGTATACATTTTATATAATGTATATAAACACGATTTTATAAAATATATACAAACACGTATTATATAAAAAATTATTCAAACACATTTTTATAAAATGTATAGAAACACGATTTTATAAAATGTATACAAACATGTATTATATAAAAAATTATTCAAACACGTTTTTATAAAAAAATACAAACAAACACGATTTTATAAAAAAAATAGATACACAGCTATTTATGTGAAAATACGTTTTTTTTTATAAATATGATTTTATAAAGAAAAAACATATTAGAAACAATTCTTTGAGAAAAAAAGTTGTAAAAAAAACTAAAGTTAGGATGAAATTATAAAAAAATTCTAAATTTTGGGCAAAAAGGGTAAAGTTTGGACCAAATTTGTAATACAATTTAAAATCTGGGCCAAAAGTATAAATTTTGGAACAAACTTGTAATAAATTTGAAATCTGGGCCAAAAATGTAATTTTTGAAAGTTAAATGACCTGTTGACCAGATCAAATGGTTAAATTGAATACGATTACCGGTATTTGAGACTTAATTGAAAAAAAAATATAGGGACTAAATTGATTATGAGGCAAATATATAAGAACTTTATTGCAGTTTTCCCACATAAAAATCTACCGTTCGCCTAAACCCATTTTGGCGTTTAACCAACCCGCAGACCAAGTCATGATTTTCCACGTCTATTGATGATCATTAAAAACCAATAACCATATTATATTCGGATCTCATTATTTTTCTTTTGATTAAATTTGATGTGACCAGACTCGACATGATCAACCAATGCTTCTCGAGAAAATCATGTGAAGAAATATTATACTCACTGGTAAGTTTATTTAGGGTTAAAAGCATATTTTTGTAATCATTTTTCATATGTTTACCAATTTAATTATAAAACATAAATAAATTTTTTGACATGGATTATGAAAACACATTTCAATTTGTTACTAAACATTCATCAGTTTAAGCATAATTTGGTAAGAGATGAACAATATAGAGTAAACATGTAACAAATTAAAATATTATTACATAAATTGGTTAAAAGTATATATATATATATATATATATATATATATATTATATATATATATATATATATATATATATATAATATATATATATATATAGTTGCATAAATTGGTAATAGGATGAAAAATGGTTGCATAGATTCGCATTTAGCCCTTTATATTTCAAAAACGTAACATCTTGATGTATGGATACATTCACTTCTAGGAGCACTTGGCTATCCAAGTACAAGAGAAGTGGATTCACAATGCAATAAGATCGATGAGATTCGCATCTCCACTGTGTCTCAAGATTTTCTTACGAATAGTAAGTAATGTAAAGATTACAACAATTTCATTATGAATTCTAAATTTACTATATAAATATTTAATTTCCTTGACAGATTAGACAAGGTCGATCCCAAAACATCGAGCAATGTCTAGACACCGAATACATTGCTATCTCACATATTTTACGTCGAACAGTTAGCAATGACTTCTATGAGGTTGCTCTATATTTCACACATAATTTTGAATGATCACATGTTTGATATCAATTAAACTCATGTGCTTAGAATGTTCTTTATATAGGGATCAAGAGCTATTTTGATTGAGAAAGATAAGAAACCACAGGTAAACGTTGCTATAAAGTGAAGTCGGTCTACTCTACTAAATTTTGATGCGATTGATATTTATCTGAACATTGTGGTTGTTAATACAAAACTTTATGCTAACAATCATGTTGAATTCATGGCGAAAATTTTTAAATTAATGATATCACTAACATTTAGTTTATGTTAATAGTGGGTGCCCTCAAAACTAGAGGAAGTTAGTGACGAAATGGTGGCCAAGTGTTTTTTAAGATCTTTCACCGAAGACGATGATTGGTTTCCTTTACGACTTCCCCTTCGATATGATAAAGCCAAAGCCATGACATCAAAACTCTAGAACAAAGGACTCGTTTTCTATATGATTTATTTATTGTTGCTTTAGAGCTTAATATGGTTGGCCTATCACAAACTAATAAATAATATCTCATTAGTCTCATCGTTAATAATGCATTCTGCAAGTGTTTTCAAGTTATTGAAATAATATTAGGTTGTGAGAGATCATTCAAACTTTGAAATGTAAATGGTCTTTTTTTATCGATTGGTATTTTATTTTTAGGTTGTAATATAAAGAATTTGAAAGAAACAAACATGTGTTTTAATTTGACATTCTTTTTGTTTTGCATTGAAATTCTGTTGAGCATGCTCAAAGCTAGGTTCCAAACTTTGCATTTGGTTTGACCAATATTTAAGAAGATAAGATAAACTTGTTTGAAGGGTCAACGCAACCCTTAGACATTTGATATGTAGCCAGTGCTTTAGTATGAAAACATATCAAATATGTTTTAGTATACAGTTAACTACCTTTTTAGAGCATAACAATTTATTTCTTGTTCCTAATTTTTCCGATCATCTCATTTTGTTTTAATAATGATTAAACCAAAATGTGAATCACATTTTATTATAAGAATCTCGTTGTGTTTTGTGTGATTATAAAATCGTAAAGGGGATGATCAAGAAGATGATGAAAATTCACCAAATGATGCCTTTGTTCTAGAAAGGTTGCATATAATTAAGAAACATGCGTTTTTGGTCTAGAAAGTATTATTTCAGCTTCATAAAGTGTTGCTTAATCCTGGATACTTTGCCTAACCAAATTAAATGCGTCAAAATCTAGAATTTATACCTGACTAAATATTTTAAGAGAAATTACCTCATCTTTTATGTCTACAGTTATTACTACCCATTAAAACAATGACAAATCACTATTCAATTTAATTTTATTTGATATATTCCTAATATAGTCTTAATGAATTAGTTAAAAAAAAATATGGAATGATGATACTTGTCATAATTTTATTGGGTAGGAACATTTGTAGGCATAAAAAGTAGGAAGCAATTTAATTTTTAATATTTTAAAATTTTAGAGGATACTTAAAACAAAATAATTTGTTTATGGCAAAACTATTTTTTTCTTTAATGTTAAAATTATGTGTTTTATGAAAATGACTTTTAAACCCTACTTTTGTATTTAATATATATATATATATATATATATATATATATATATATATATATATATTGTAAACGTATGGTTCATTAGCGTGGCCCGGATGTCAAGACTTGGCACACCAACCTTGCCCGACGCTCACCTGCTAGCCTTGTATAGCCACTGCGATGCTCGTCTTGTGACCCCAAGTGGCCTTACCCAGCTCCTTGCTAGTTGGGCCTGAGTTGGGCTGACCCAAGGCCTGACCTAACTCTCCATTAACCTAATTGTACCCCATAAATAGAACATAATCTCCTCCAGAAAGAGGGAGCTTCCCTTGGACATTTCCTGGGACATAAACCATAGAGCCTCCATGGCCAAATTGTAATAATTCATGTCAAAATAAATGTCAAAAAAATATATAATCAGATTATATTATTATATTATTATAATAAAATTATTTTGCTCAAAATTAATGGATTAATTAGATACAAATTATGAGGTATTATGTCTAGAAACCGTTATTCAAGATTAGGCCATAAAATCGAGGAAATGAAAGGTCTTCAACAATTATACACTTAGGCATTATAAGTAGCACGAAAAATCGAGTGGAATCCCCACATAAATTTTGATAATCGGCTTAGAAACTAGGGAGAAATCAAAGGAAGAAGTTCGTAAAGCATTTTCGGAGTTGTGTTCGAAATCAAGGTATGAACCTTCAATTTCAGCTCGTTATAGTTGTTAGAATAGGTTTACAAGGTCACTCTATGTGTTTTGGTTCCACCTAGGGTCTCGGTTCGGCTACAATACTAAAAATTGATGAGAATTTTTGAAGTGTTATTTTGGGTGCAATAAAATGTTAATTTAGCTTAATTTGGATATGTTTATGATAATTGATTTTGAAAATAAGTTAGTATGTGGAGACAATCAATGGTAGATTTAATTATTCATTTGGTATAATTTTCGGAGCTTTATTGGGTTTAAAAATGGCTGAAAATGGTGTGTGTTTCGGGTAGGGAAGACAAGAACCCGGGTCTGAGTTTTTGTGGGTGGCAGTGGTTTCCAATATTTTAAATAAATTCATTTTTGGTCTTTGTAACCAAAAGAATGTTTTCGTCCATTGGGCATTCATTGTGGCAGTACACCCGTTACCCGTTCGATCCTTGTGTGCATGTTTCCACCATTTTTTTTATTGTTATCATTATTTTTCCTTTCTTGAAAGTTGAAACGTGACGTTCTACTAATTCACTTTTTTCAATTAAAGTAGTATTTACATAATCAATCCCTATGTTTTGACAAGTTGGCAGATTTGATTTTCTAAGAAAAACGTCGTATTTCAGATGTAAATATAAGTTACGGAAATGGCCTCTACAGTTTCAATGATTTGGAAATCAAACTGATGCTTTATATTTTATTTTAACGTGAAAATATAAATGGCCGTGCAATCTTAATAACTGGTTAGTATTCGTTAATAGTAGATTTATTAGTGATTTCAAAACCACGAGTCTTTGTATTTTAAAGGTTTTACTTTATTTTGGTTTATTTTATTTATTTACTTGACTATTTATTTATTTATTTTTGTTTGGCTTTTGAATATTAACTTTAGCGGTGAAACTTTAACTTCGAAAGAAGATACAATATTAGTTCTAAAATTGTTACGAGTTTTGTAATTAACATAATTGGATAGTTATTGGTTGGCCGAACGAGATACGTGCATAGTGGGACAAAAACGAACACATAGGATGTTTTTATAGGATTGCAGCCTTAGAAAAATATGTTGGTTAAATGTAGGGTGCGTGTAACGTGACAAGCTTTGGTTAAGACCTAACGCCAACAAGGTGAATTTCGTGTGAATTTTATGGTTGCTTGCATGAAAAGTTGATCCTAATTTATTTGTAATTACATGTTACCGTTGTTATTGCTATGAATATTTGTGTGAATTTTATGAACTATTTCATGTAAAAGGGTGAAAAGGGTGGGTGACATATATATAGGGAATAGGTGTAGTAACTACACGGTCTTATTATTAGTCGTCGTACAGGGTGTCAGTACGCGGCGGAGAGCTTACATTCTGATTACTTAGCCGTAAGCATATTTGTTGTGCTCCGCGAAGGGACTTGTTCCCCGAAAATGACAATAGTTCCCTAATGTGTCACCAAGGGTGGAAAGAAATGAAAAGAATTTATATTTGATAATTTGTTGCATTATTTTTATTTTATTGACATCAATATGCATGAAAACCATGAACTCACTAGGCCCTAGGCTTACCCATTAGAATCTTTAAATGCACGTAATCCAGGAAATAACGTAGCAAGTGGCAGCGGGAACGGAAAGGACAAAGCTCAGACTTGAAGAAGGCGACAAGTTTTGAGGAAGACGTAGCGCACCAAGTGTTTACTTAAATTTCTGTTTGCTTCCGCTATTATTATTAATAATCACATTAGAATTTGAATTTTCGAATTTTAGAAGTTTTGAGACCATGTTAAGTTATTGTTGGTATTTGAAATTTGGAGCGCTACAAGTTGGTATCAGAGCGATGTTTAAGCAGATTAGTCGTTGTTTAAACGCCTAAGCTTAAAAAAGGAGGAGTGGTACATCGCCTAATCTGGACTGCGTCTCGTTTGTAGATACTATAAATCGTGGAAAGGCAATCGTCGATAGTGGGGTGTCAGGTGAGGGTACGAGTGGGTTACTTCCTTACGAGAAGTTGAAGGCCGAGTTAGAGCTCTCTGATTCGGAAGGCAGTCTAGAATCAACGACTCCACTCAACCTCTCTGAGTGGGATGAAGAAGACGAGGATGAGAACTCTGAGGAGGAACCAGAAGAAGATCCTGAGGAGGAACCCGACGAAGACCCTGATCGGGAACTCGAAGAAGACCCCGAGGAGGAACCCGAGGGAAACCACATGGAGTACCATGTGGAACAAAGATACGAAACGTTCCATATGCCCTATGTGGAATATACGCCAACTAGTCCTGGTTTTTATTGGGAGCAACTATATAAGGAATAAATGCCCCAGGAACAGTTCGAGATTCACAGTCTGAAAAAAGAGAGATTGAAGAGATAGTTGAGCATAGGACAAGACTCGTACAGGAGAACCAAATACGTGTTGAGGCTACTGAGGAAAGTAAGCACAAGATACGAATGTTAGAAAAGGAAGTAATGGAACAAAGGAAACCCACTATCACCAAGCTGTGGGAAGGATTCGTAGCTCGGGCAAAGCGAGCCAAGGCTGCGACATATGGATTCCTAGATAGGGTGGTTGGAAGAGACCCACCTCAGGCCGAGGTGCTGCTCATCTAGAGTGGTCTCGGAGATCGAAAAGCCAAGAAGATAAGGAAGTACTTGAAGAAGGGAAAGCGAATCTTGAAATATGATGACATTGTGTTTAAAAAGTAGAAAGAAGGAGTTTGATAAGTTTTTTTTTTTGGTTGTTGGCTTAAGTTGTTTGATGTGAACAAGACATATGTCTCTTTTTGAAATTTTGATGATTTGGAATAAAATTTATGTTTGTTATACTTATTGTGTTATAAACATAAATATGTAGTTAATATGTCTTCACGAAGATCTGGGAGGTTCTCTAGGGTCACGTCGTAGGAAGAACGCATCCCAATTGGGGCTTATGTCAGAGCACCAGGGGAGGTACCGGAAACCCCATTGATCCAAAATGTTGGTCGTGGACGGGGTCAAGGAAGAGGAGGAGGCAGGGGTAGAGGAAGAGGTCGAGGAACTGTTACATCATCGATGCCTGCACCATCGGCCCATGGCAGCTCCGGATCCCACCGTGGTCGAGGTCGAGGTCACGGAAGGGGTCGTGCGGCAAACGTGATCACTAGAGAAGAGTTGGCTGATGAGATTGCTCGGGCAATTCGTGCTACCTTGCCAGATGTAGTTACTCAGGTACGAGAAGCAATTATGGGTGAGTATGAAGGTAACTTGGGCGGAGGTGAAGAAGACTATGAGTACAGTACACCAAATATGAATCAGGAACCAAGTATTGCACAACCCTCAAGGCATCATGATAATCACAATCGACGGGTTTGTAGTTACAATACATTCATGAATTGTAAGTCACCCGTTTTTAACGGAGAAATTGATCCCGTTTTGTGACCAACATGGATCATGGAGATTGAGGGACCGTTTGATACTAGC